GAGAGAGAGAGAGGGTGGAGGAAGCTAAACTTAGGTTCACCTTCTGTAAAAGCTAAATAGAGAAGAATGAACCGCGACCATCGTTTTCTTTGCACTTCCAACGATCCAAAATTAACAGAGACAAAGTCCTCACAAATCCTACATCCGTCTTTGATTCATTCTTTCGTTCCTGGGACTTGGTTCTTCGTTGTTTGTTCTGGTTCCGTCCCAGCATTCCTTCACCTGAGTGGACCGACTCTTGGGTCGATCCACAGGGTATACTCTTCAATTTACTTGTGTTTGAGGCTTCGGCGAGCAACTCATACAAGAGGTCGATGGGTTGCTTCTGCTGTTTCAATTCATCCGATGTGCAAGAGGAGCCCACCGAGGAGGAAGATGGAAGAGAAGGGAACGCGCTCGCCTCCCTTGTCAACAACCTTGCCATTGAATCGGGTGTGTGTTCCATCTTCACTTTTCGTTGATTCATTGCCAACAAATTAGATAGCTTTGCGGCATTGTGCAAGAAACAATTTGCCCAAATGTTCAGAACAATTCCCACCATATGTTTGATTTTGACGAGGTTTGGGTAAAGACTTCATATTGTTTGGATTGAATTGGTGCAGATACCCAGAAGCATATATCTGTAGCCGAAGAGCTCTTGCGGATAGGCAATGGCAACAATTCTACTCGAGTTTTCACGTTCGATGAACTCTCAGCTGCAACCAACAACTTCAAGGCAGAATGCCTTCTTGGCGAAGGTGGATTCGGTAGAGTCTACAAAGGACACCTCGAGGACACAAATCAAGTAATGCGTGATCACCTTCTTCTTCTTCTTCTACTACGACTACTACTACTACTGCTTCGTAAATCCAAGCAATCGATAGCTTTCAATGACCGCCGGATTCATCTCCTGCAGGATATAGCTGTCAAGCAACTCCAGAGGAATGGCTTACAGGGAAACCGAGAGTTCCTTGTCGAAGTGTTGATGCTCAGTCTCCTACATCACCCAAACCTCGTCAATCTCATTGGTTACTGTGCCGATGGAGATCAAAGAATTCTGGTTTACGAGTGCATGCATTTGGGCTCACTGGAAGATCATCTTCTCGGTAAGCCATCTCCTGATCCATTCCAGCAAGAGTCGTCGTGAATGACCACTGGAAGTTTCTGCAGATCTTTCCTCAAACAAGAAGCCGCTGGATTGGAGTACAAGAATGAAAATAGCAGAAGGTGCTGCTAGAGGCTTGGAGTACTTGCACGACATAGCAAACCCACCCGTGATCTACAGGGACTTCAAAGCATCTAACATTCTTCTGGATGAGGAGTACAACCCGAAGCTATCCGACTTTGGCCTGGCCAAGGTTGGACCAGTCGGAGACAAGAGTCACGTTTCGACAAGGGTGATGGGAACCTACGGCTACTGTGCTCCCGAGTACGCATTGACGGGGCAATTAACGAAGATGTCTGATGTTTACAGCTACGGCGTCGTGTTTCTGGAGATCATAACAGGAAGGAGAGCCATCGATACATCGAGACCTTCGAACGAGCAGAATCTTGTTCACTGGGTAATAAGAATAATTCATTTCATGTTTTAGCTGTGCCTAAGCCAAATGCCCAACTTTCTTGGACTGAAAGCTCGATCCGGTGCTCTTGTGCAGGCAGAGCCACTGTTTAAAGACAAGAAGAGGTTTGTGGAAATGGCGGACCCATTGCTGGAAGGGAATTACCCACTGAAAGGCCTCTACCAAGCTCTTGCAGTCGCAGCAATGTGCCTACAAGAGGAAGCCGGCAATCGTCCACTGATCAGTGATGTTGTGACCGCTCTGGAGTATCTGTCAAGTCCACCAAATGAAGCTTCTCAAAGCTCCAAAGAATCTATCTCGCGGAGCCTATCCTCTCCAGATTCAGCAGAAGAAAAAGATTCAGCTAATGATGGCGGGGGCGAAGCTCAATCGAAGTTGGAAGATGAAGAAACCCGTAACTCGTTGAGATTCAAGGAAGAAAACATCGAACGCATCTGACACACGCATGAATGCTTCAGAAACAGAGCCGACAGCACTTATATCCGTGCGGCTGTATCTTGCATTGTAAAGCTCAATTATTCTAAGATGCTTAAAAATAGATCTCTTTTCTTATCTTCGTTATTGTCGATGATTCGGTGAATGCATCAAGGATCCTCCTATTCAGTAAGACAACCTCGAGAAAGAATAGTAGTGACACAAGGAATTGAAGGCTCCAGCAACGTATGCAGCTGTGGAAATAAATGCGAGAACGATTCTGTCGTTCATCAGTTATGTAGTGAATACCACCACCCATGTCAATCAATGCAAACAAGCGAGTGAAACGAAGGAACTAAATGAAAGCAAATCAACTTAAGCTCTTCATCTTAAAAGGGTGGCGTAGCACAGAATCTTACAACCAGCACCACAAGAACAACACAAAACACAAGATAAAATGGTGGGAAATGAGAGAGTATATGCTTGTTCCATGGAGAGAGAGAGAAAGAGAGAGAGAGAGAGAGAAAGGGGTAAAATTCCAGCAAAATCCTAGAGGTGGTAGTCCTGAAACGAGGGGAAGTCAATGCCCGAACCAACCTTTCCTCGCATGGTGGTGGTGGAGAGTGCCTACGGGTTATTGCTCCCAGGCCGCCAAACCAACACTACGCTGCAGGGTAAGTCTGAGGTGCGTTCTTGACTTCCCACAATTGATGCTCCAAACTCCACCCTTTCTTCTGCACATCAAAGCATCATCATGCACCAACGAATGTAATAAGACAACAAACCATGGATTATGCGGATGGAAGAGGTCACTCACGCATATCTTGTGTATTCTTCAGGCTCAGTGGGCACTTTCGCCTCCAGCTGAAGCCTTGATCCGTTCAACAGTGCATGCGATGAGGCTGTTGACTGTTGCGACTGATCCAAGAGACAGCTTGGCCGTCGGAGCCGAGTCGACCAGGATCTGAAATGCTACAGTCAAGAGGGAGCCGCCTGATCCGACGCCGTCCACCATTTCGCCGCCTTGTCCTCCACATGGCCCGTCCGGGAGGATGGCGAAACCTGACGGCAGGAGCGCGACGTAGTCAGGATCGCCACCGTTAAGCACCACGTTCATGGCGATGACATCCACCGGGGCGTAGATCACGTAGGAGCCCGTTGAGTCTGTGCAGCTCTCTTGCAGTATCAGCATGTTGCTCTGGCTTGAGTTCGTGCTCTGCGATCGCCCGTCATGCAATTTAGAGAACGATCACCCAGTCTGTATGGTGTAGCAACATACGACTGCAAATACTAATACACTCACATTGACGCGTAGCAGGGAAACACAGTTTCCATGGTCTCGGCCATTAGCGATGTGAGCCATTTCTTGAACACCACCACCATTTGAGAGGATATCCCACTGTAAATGCATGAACAAAACCAAGAAGTGATGTGTGCTCGCATAGTTCGGATCTCAGAAGCATACGAGGCATACCTCGCTGCGAGAGCTTTCATCACGTAGGAAGTCGAACACCCTCTTCGGTGGGACGGGAAGCCAGAAGGATGTGGCCGCATTAAGAACAATACCAGGAGGCCTTCCAGGATCGTCTACGCTCTTTCTCGTCATAACCCTCACATCCTCTGCACCGCTACCGGACAGTGTAGTCCATTGATGTGAAGCTGAGCCACCGACACCGCCACAGAAGCTTATCACCATTCTCTCAGCTAGCTTCAACATGCTTTTCCTGCCTTCCGGAGTAGTGATCACTGTATGTACGTATATTCCGTGGAGAAGAAGAGAACATCGAATTGGCTAAGATTAGAAACTCGCACATAATGACAATATCAATGATCATATGAAATGGGAGCAGCGGAAAGTTTTACCGCCGATGTCTCCAGAGGGTATGTTGCTAGCCATCACACTCGCTAGGCGCTCACATTGCCTATCCAAGGTACTGACCCACCTCTTTGCACCAAATGCCAGACCTGAGTTCACCAAGGGCCTGTAGATATTATGCACAGACCTATCGTCCACTTCGACATGTTCCACCCAAGTAACCTGTGGAACGGGAAAACAACTCCTAAGAACAGTCGATCAACATGTTAGCTTTGGATTTCTAATCTTCCTGATTGTTCTTCACCTTTGAGTAGCCATTGGGCATTTCTTGAATCAGGCAGCCGGATGGCCTTCTTCGGCATCGCAGGACTGGGCTGGGGCGCAAGCTGTCCAAGGAAACATCAACCACCGCCCAAGTTCCATCCGCGTGCTGCTTGCAGTACCTGACGAACAAGCTCTCCCGAGTTGGAACAAGCGGAGATGGCACTTGGAATTCTGCTGACATCTGAGGATTCAAAGATGGAGGATATTATGCTTCAGCACAGAGTGAGTCCTTCGGAAGTGTATAACGTCGATCAAGAAGAACAGATCACAGCTCTTCATGAGCTCAGTGGAATATGGCAGATGCAGTTTACCAGGTAAACGATTTCGTATAAGACTATGTCTCGCCACAAAGAAGATGCAATCTTACACGTATGAACTAAAACCGCTTTAAATTCAAGAGAAATTTGGAAATAGATCGAGAAAATAAGTGAAGGTAGAACATTGGGCAAAAGAAATATACCACTTGCAGAGCTCCATTGTAATTGCCAGCCACTCCAGTCGATAATACTTCGAGTGTTAATGCTCTCGACACAATGCCCGAGAACACATTTGCCCATTGATTCTGTAAACCATCAAAAGAGTTATGAGAACAGAGACATGAAATCCCAGCATCAGAAGAGCAAACCTTTAACCCTTCGTAATCCATCCTACTTAGTTAAACCACGACTTCCCGTACCACGTCCATGAGTATCTCGACAACATGCATCTGGTTCATGATCACCACCGCAGTCTCGCGCGACGCCTCGGACTTCAGCCCCAGAAGTTTCGGCCCAATCCCTCTGGGGAACGTTCTGACGTACTCGTCTTCGTTGAGAGTCTCGGCTGCGCCATCGAGACCCGGAATCCAGAGTGGCTCACTGAGCTGCGCCATCCTGATGAGCTCCTCCATGGCGGCCACGGCGAGCTCGATGACCACGGGCTTCTCGATCTCCGGCAGCCCTGACACGCTCCTCAGTAACTCCCCGGCTCCGAACATCTCACTCCCAATCCCCTGTTGCACCCCCAAACCTCCGACGCCGAGGTCCAATGGTGAACGTGAAGGGATGGCGGGAGAAAGGAGCGGGTACGACGCCACTGGCTTACCCACGTATTTAGCTGCTATCCCTGATATCCTATCGATCTGTCAAAGCATGGGAAGAGCAGTTGCAATTCACATACCTACCGCAAAGCATCATAAATCTCATAATGGGGGGGTGAAGAGCAGTTACTTCTTCTCTCAGCCGAACATTTTCGATCCTGAGGTTGTGTTCGTCGAAGGACATTTCTCCGAGAGCAGCAGGCCCGCCACAGTTTGGGCATGAAGCATTGCTGAGGGCCTCCTTGTACCTTAAGTTGTCGGCACGAAGCTTCTCGTTATCGGCTCGTAGCTGAGAGTTCTCCTGCCGCTCGTGTTGATTCTATGACAACGGGAGGAGAAGTTTAAGAGCAGTGTTAAGCAGCAAGTGATAAGAGACTAAGACGATGGCAATAACGTGTGGGAATAGGATAATGGGCCAAGAAAATACGTGGTCAATGGCCGACATGCAGTGTGAGCTAAGTAAATGTCCTTAATGGTTATTGAAGTCGTAGGAAAACACCTTCATTTGGGTGCGCTTGTTCTGGAACCAAAACTTGACTTGGAGAGGTTCCAGCCCAAGCTGTCGGCTCAGCTCATTTCTCTGCTTGTCATCCGGGTGAGGGCATTCCTTGAAGAAACTGCAAGAAATGTGAGTGCAATATGTCAAGAACAGGACAGAGAAACAACAATTAACATAAAAGAATTGGCATAAGGAAGTGATTGAGAAAGAAAACAATCAAAAGACAAGGTCTTGTTGCTTTAATCTTCTCAGTAACTGTCCTTTGTGTTGGTATCTTGTGCAAGGAGAGTGATGAGAGAATTACGCCTCCATTTCTTGGATTTGATGCTGTGTGTGGCGATGGTAGCGTTTCTTCCTAGGGCGCTGGTTTTGGTCCTGATCATCGCCGGAAGCGCCCTCGATGTTCTCGCTGCATGACTTGCTCTCGAAGTCGTCCTCTCGAGCCCTTGCCATCTCGCTCTCTGCGGTGGTGGCCTGTGCGATCTCCACAAACTGGTTATGATGTTGGTGCTGGAGTGGGATTTGCTGCCCTTCTAACAAGTTTGGCTACAAAAGCAGCCACAAAGGCTCCTTCAGTCCTCGTATTTCGACAAGAAATTGAATTCAATCAATCAATCTGAGTGTTGTGACCAGTGTGATGAATTTGGAAAAGGTGCAAAGGTGAAATAGAAAGGAGGTTGGGATAAAGGAGTGCCGTCGATCAATCGTTAAGCAAAGTTTGATGTCCGAAGGTGTTTCTGTAGATCAAGTGTGGACAAGTGCATATAAGAAGATTGGTGAGAGGGGATGAACAAACACAAAACTGGTTGATGTATTCTGTAGAGAGAGAGAGTCTCTTTTTCCTATCTCCTGTTGAAGAGACGAAGGATAGAAAGATTTAAAGAACTGGAAGACAAAGATTAAGTGGAAAACGAACAAAAGGACTCAAACTTGTGCAACTGTAATCCTTTCACTACTCACCTTATCTTTACAGACCTCGACAAAGCTCTTACCACAACAACATGTGCAAGAAGAAAGAGTACTGATCTGCTGACCTGGCTGAGCGACAACACCGACGACGAGCCATAACCGGTGCCGGTGTTCCTCCCGATCATGGATGGTGGTTGCCTTGCTGGTATCATGAGCCCCACAGGCATATTTCACTCATTCAAACCCTAATTCTTCCCCCCCTCCACTTCTCTTTCTCTCTCCCTTTGTGTATATATGTCTCTCAATCTCGATGAAGATGATAAAAAGGTGTCTTACTAGCAGACTGCGGATTGGACTCAACTTGGGTCTCCAAAGTCACAAGTTTCAGAAAAAAAATAGGAGAGAGAGCAGAGAGAAATGGCTTTTTAACATCAAGAAACGTGACAACCAAGGGATAGATGGAATGTGAGTAGCCAATATCACTGAGATCTAGTCATAGGACATGGACGCTCTCTCTTCTCTCTCTCTCTCTCCTCCTCCTTTGTTTTCTACGTCAGGAAGAGAGCAAACAGAAGAGAGCAGGACTTAGTGCATGCGAGGAAGAGGAAGAGGTGGCTTCAGGGAAGAAAGCACCGGGAGAGAAGCCATTAGATCAGGGACGGGAAGGAGATCTGGACAAGAGGAGGGCAAGGGATAGGGAAGAAGGAGAAAAGGGAACAGGTGGAGAGGAAGTGATGAGGATGAGTTATTGCAGAGCGCATTGAGATGGTGCAATTGCATTTATTGAGAGGATGGTGTTATTAGGGTAGAGAGAGAAAGAAAGCGAGAGAGAGAGAGAGAGAGCAAATGTGTGCTTTAAATTTTTTTCCACTGGTTGAGTATAAGGTGAAAGAGACGATTGGTGGATATACCAACCTATAGAGATTACTAAGTTTAAGACATGTAACATACTGTATCATTTGCTGTTAGTAGTTTTCTTGTTGGATGTGTGCAGTCCTAAGAATAACGATACTCTGGTAATGAAACAGAAGAATATTTGGACCTACGTATGCATTCATCATACTTTTTCTCTCTTTGCTTTGCAAATCTGTGCCCCCAAAAGATTACTTGCATGTCATGCAAAGAGTTCTATCTGCACACCGAATGACTTGGAAATAACAGTTTCATTTTGGAGATTATTGTTTGTTCTCATTCAGAGGATAAACTTTTCGTTCACTTGTTCTCACCATTAACTAGAGATGTTCATAGAATTGACCATTGGCGAAATGGAGAGCCAACAGAGTTTCTTCATCATCGGTTGGGTTGCCCTAGGAGTGAGCCAAGGCTCTTCCTGTCAGGGCAGAGCGATGCTGAACCATGGCACAAACCCTAAGATCTCCAACCTTCATGATGGCGGAGTGGTGGGGTGGGGTTGACTGGGTTTTCTCATTTTCCCACTGAGAAACACCTCCCCAACTCCCCCTATTAAATGAGCTTGTGCCCTATTCCCTGTCTTCAATTTCTCCTGTGAGGAGCCCTCCTCTCTTCCCCTCCAACGCCTCGCATTTAATGGCTCTGATCGCCACTGCTTGGGTTGCGATAGTGTGAAGGAGAGAGAAGATAGAGGAGAAGCGAACTCGAAGGCTTTAATGCGTTCATGCCGCGTTCGCATACGCATGTACATGTAAATGACAAGTTCTTCTTTGCTTCTTAGACAGAAGAGAGAGAGAGAGAGAGAGAGAGAGAGAGAGAGAGATGGCTACGAAAGAAAGTTGGACTACGAAAGAGA